AGAGGCGATGAGAAAAAATAAAGAAATCAGCCTTAGCCCCTTTTATCACCATTTTTTCTTTTAACCCCCTTTAGGTTTGTAAATTTTAATCATTAGACCCAGTAATAATAATTTCTACCACATAAGTCTTTAACTTAAATTTATATTCACTTGTACTAGTGTATTCATGTATATATATATAAATTTCAGAAATTTTGGGATATTACAATATATCTCTCATCTACCAATTTGCATTTCTTATGTGTTAACTTGTGATTTTGATTATTGAGTATCTTCACTTGTAATCCTTTACTTATTTTCTTTAAGCGTTATCTTGGGGGTGTGATTATTCCTTCAAAAGTGATTAGTAGTTAGGATTGTTGGGTTTGTCTTGTAAAGGGTGAGATTTGTGAAAAAACCCATCTTCTCTTCCAAAGGGAATGAGTGGCTCTTTTAAGCCACCATTGTTGTTAGTGGAGAGTGTCGAGAAAATCCTTTGTGAGTGAAGTCACAGTAGAGGATTAGGTACCAAGTGGTTGGACTAAACCTCTATAAAATCTTTGTGCAAATTTCTCTTCTCTACTTTCTATGATTTTTGCTTTGTGGCTACAAAAGGAGGAGATTTTTAGAACTCCAATTCAGCCCCTCTCTTGAAGTGCGTTGAGCAAACAAATCTCATAAAACTCACACCCACATAGCAGAAAATCACAAACAAGGAGGAAGGAAAGACATCAACAAACTCTTAATTCATGTAGAAGAAGAGTTGTGGAAGGGTGAAGATTTACGGCTTCTTAAGGGTTTAGTAATGGTTTATAGAAAAGAAAATAACATAGAGAAGGGAGTTAGGAATCCTCTGTGTTTTAGTCTAACCATAATTCTACTATTAAACCCCTTTAGTTAGTCCCTTAACTATTGTATGGACATTTGAGTTGATCCTTCCACTAAAAAAATCCCTGATTCAGTTCCTAAAGTTTTATAATTTGGCTCCAAATTGGTCTCTCCATTAAAAATTTGCCATTACTTAATGAGAGAATGATGACATTGAAAAAGATTTTGACATGTAAGATTTACAATAAGGAAAAAACAATGACATGGCAAAAATAACATTTGACACATAATTCTTTCTTAGCTTCAAAAAAAAAAAAAAAAAAAAGGTGGGGTGCACCACCTACAACAAAACATGATTTAATCTCTTTCCTCTTTTTCTTTTTTTCCCACTAAAAGGAAATTAATAACTTATTAAACTATGCATCTTCTCATCTCTCTCTTCATCTAGATTTAGGTTTCAATGACCTTGATTTCTCTTGTGTTTCTCTGTTCAATGATTGAGATCGAGTTTGGAGGAAAGAGGAGGGTAAAGACACAATTAAGCATGTGATGGTAGTGAATGGTGATGGATTGAGGAGGAAGAAGGTGTTGAGATCAGGCCTAGAAAAGAGAACAATTGATGATTGTAGAAGATGAAGTATTGATGATGAGAACCCCAAAGAGAATAATGACACCCACAGCACGACAAGGAATTTCTAAACCCCAGGAAAGCTAAATCAGGTTTATAATAGGACCTTGACCCATTGTTTATGTCGCAACAAGAACCAAAGGTAAAAACCTTGACCTGTTGTCTATGACGCAACAAGAACCAGAGGCATAAAGTTGGTTGACGCCACACCCTCGAACAATTAAAAACGAGAATGATAAGTCAGGTTAGAACGCCACAAGAATAATCTTGATAAGTTCTATAAAGTTCTAAAACGAACCAAAGAAAAAAGTCTCTCAAAATCTCAAATTCAATTGCTTTTTCCCCATTAGGGTTACAAGCCTTTTCAATAGAGAAAACAAATCCTAATCAGAATAGGAAATTAACACCCTAAGTCCTAAACCTAATAACCACGAATTGGGCTTCAAATAAGCGAATGTTCAGCCTAAAAATAATACAAAAAAATGTGAAAATCACTAAAAATAACCTAAAAGAACACAAAATATCAGTTTGCTACAAATTGCGACAGAATTGTGCGATTTTGATGCAAACTGTGTCATTCCGTGCAAATGACCTCAACTAAGCTTCTTTTGAACCTGAATGATGTTTACCATGCCTTAATAATCATCCAAGCTTCGATTTGCTTGTTGTATGTTGTTTTCAGCCCAGATCTACTCAATAAGGCCATTTAAAGCTTCACGCATCTTCTTAGCTCTAGCTCGCATGATTGGACCTCCTTTGGTGTGTAATGGATCACATGATGTAGTAGATATGCTATCGTCTTGATTCCCATCATTCCCTCTCTTCTCAAAAGGATTTGTCCTCAAATCGTCACCTACATCAAAAGGAGAAAGATTAGAAACATTAAAAGTAGCACTAACATTATACTCACCAGGAAGCTCTAACTTGTATGCGTTGTCATTAATCCTCGCAATCACTTGAAATGGTCCATCGCCTCTTGGTTG